GCCACACAACACCACACTTCTATACTTGGTAATAATGGTTATATATACAACTGAGCGCGTGTCGCGATCGCTATATATATAGCTGCGAGATGGAACATATTTATATATTCACGAAAGTCCGGAGCAGCTCTCGAGCGAAGATCGACCATGATGATGATGATGATGATGGTAGTGGTGGTAATGGTGGTGGTGGTGCGCCTAGACGTACGCCGCGTATATATATGCTACAGCCTTACCACCGCGCATATTATAATGCGGCGGGCGGTGCAACAAAGCATAAACGCCGTTATGAATTAACCGTATCACCAACTCAACACATGAATTCAGCTCTATATATATCGTTGCTGCTGCTGCTGCTGCTGCTGCTGCTGTGTGTGTACACGCGAGAGATGCAACTATACTTCTTCCTTTTTTTTTTGCTTCGCCATACCATACAGTGAATTATGCATCTTTCGTCGACCGCACGTGTGTACGAACGATAAACGTAATATATATTATTTTATATATTACAAGGCAATTAAAAAGCCGAGTAGTTTACCGCAATTTTCTCGATCGCGACTCGATTATCGAGTATACGAGAGCTATGATTATAATTCGAAAAGTTCACGCGATTCTACACAATCACTTTTCGGTCGGTCGGTCGATCGATATGGGTACATAATCCATAACACGTCAAATTGACACATTACAACGCGCAGGCAGTAATACGGACTGGCATAGCGATCATACCGGTGCATAAGTAAAACCGGTTGCACCTCGGCATGGCGTCTCTCGCGTTCGGCAAAACGAGGAATGCAAATTTGTAATTTTGCAATAATAGGTGCACACATGCGCTATACACATGACTTCGAGCGGCCTTTTTGCGTTTAGTATCATACGAGTTTTTATTCATAGTTCTTTCCGTGCGCGTGAAAAATTTCCTCTCGCCAACGGAGACGCTGCTATACTTTCTTTTTTCTTTTTTTTTTGAAAAGTTAAAAGCCATTATCTAAATAACGCTATAAATATTTTTGTTGGCACGGAGAGTATATATAGTGTGCGCCCGAGGCGGCAGTTCCTCTACTCGGAAGTAGACAGAATAATATAAGTCAGCTAGACCGCGTCCGAAATTAAAGTTGGTAATTAGTTAGCGTGTAGAGATATAAGATCCTGTTAGTTCTTGTCTCGAGATTATAAAGTTTCTTTAGAAATATCGCGTACACCTCTAACCCCCCTTCGTCTATTCTATACGCTGGCGTCGCCGTCGCTGTTGTTGTTCCTGCTTCTGCTGCTTCATTTCTTAATTTTAGACTCTAGATAAGATTATTAACGTGGCAGCGAATAATATTGAATAACGAATTTTTTAAATTTGAAACTTCTTTAAGAACTCCTCTTTGTTGATTTTAATTTTTGCGACTTTTTATTTTTCTTTTAATCCTTTGACATTTAACTTGTTATAATTTGCTTTTATATTTCTTGTAACGAGATTTATCGCGATGATGGGTGTTGTATATATATGAATCTGAGCTTTTTGACTTGGTCGATAGATGGAGCGTTGTGAACTCGCAAGTGACAAAACATTTTTTCTAGGCTATTTATACACACGTTGCAGTTAAATTATTATTCTATGTTTTACAGTGTAAAGTCATGAGAATTGTTAAGTTCTTTCGATAGAAATAAAGTACAGAAGGAGGAAGAAAAAATCTGCGGTCGATGATTGATGTTTTGTGCGCCTGCCGGGTATCATTTCCTGTGGGGTTTTATAATTCTTTTTTTTTTGTAGTCGTTGTTTCTGCCTCCTCCGTCGCCACTGCCGCCGCCGACGTCGTCGTCGTTTGTGAAAGTGATTGTACTTCTATGTGTTATCGAACCAAAAGGGACTCTGTATAAGCGAAAATGTCCCGCGTAAAATAAGGTCGTGCACTCGTCTTATAAACGTTAAAAAAAAAATAAATAATTTCCCGCTACCGTATACACCTTCCAGGACCGTTGAAACTCCAAATATGTGTATGTGTGGGCGCAAAAAGAAGAAAACCGGAAGCATCGTTGTATATTCACTTGTATATAGGTTTTAACCCGGGCCGCGATGATTTGGAATATCATTATGCGCGCCCGGAGATCATTACAAAATCACCTTGAACAATTCACGGAGAGGCCAGGGCAAATATATACGTATATATATATCTATGTTATATATATAACACACCGACACTTGTGCTCGCGCGCGAGAGAGAAAGAGAGTCTATATATACATTTAAAATGCCAGTCATCGTGGAAACAACGGTTACCTAACAAAGTAATAACCGCACCCAAGCTTTTATAAAATGCAGAACAGTGTAGACAAAACACCTGTCGCTTACGGTGTACGCGCGGGGACTGAATGTGTCCGTGTGTGTGTGTGTGTATCACGTATTTATATATACACATACACCAGCAGCAGAACAGACCAGACCAGACCAGGCCCGGGGAATGTTATTATAAATTACATGTCTTGGAAGCTCGCACGTTTTTGATCCGAGAGCGCGCGCAAATTGTTCGAACGGGATCACGCGCTGCGCGGTGGACTCTCTCTCTCTACTGCTGGACGCTCTTTTTTCTTTCCTTCCTTTCTTCCTTGTTCTTTTTTTTTTTTTTTTTAATTGAGAGGAGGAAGTATCAATTGAAAAGCTGTGACGCGGTGAAATTTTCGTTTTAGAAGGGACTGCGAAATTTAAAATTCAGTTTTTCTTGGTAGAAATGCTCGATACTTTATGGATAGTTTTTGGGTGATAAAAGAAGTCAATAGAATCGAGCATATCTTAATCAGAAGTGTAAAGTTTCTTTTCCAATATTTTGTGACCAAATTAATTGGAGTATTATTCAAATAAAAAAAACGAAAATACAATCAAAAAACTATACAATCAAAAAAACGAAAATACAATCAGTATTTTGTCACAAAATCGTGCTCTGACTTATACAAATATCTTTACATTGCCACTTGCAGATTTACAGATTAATGTACCTCGCCATCTAGCGGTGTATGCTCAAAGTGTTATTATCATTCTTGAAGTGATTGAAAACTGTTTGAACGCTCATTATTCATATCATAATTAAACAGAAAAATCACCTAAATAAAAGAACATTTAGACTTGAAACATTTTAAATAATAACTTTTTACTCGTCAGACTATTATTAATATTGAGCATCTCTATCGGGTTTCAATTATTGGTTTTTTCAGAGGAAATTGTAATCGAACTGTTGCAAATCGATAGACTTAAAATTTGGAAACTCACTAGAGCTTTTTACAAACGAAAATTCAAAAAAGCATTAAACGAAAATAAAAAAAGATCATTCGGTTAATTTGTTCGCGTGTACACACATCGGCTCAATGAATCACGAAATATCAAGCATCGGCCCTTGAATAATTCGAGAGCGAGAGCAAATACAATAATCGCGAAAGATTGCGCGCGTTCACCCCACGGAATAAGTGGGTGTAATTTGCGTATATATCAAAGTGTGCGGCCTCTCCATCCCATACAGAGAGAGAGATCATCCAATAAAAGCTCGCTCGAATACATAAAGCACATACACATATACCACTATGTATAACGTATGCACCGAGTGAAACGAGTCGAAAGCCGCACACGCGCGCGCGCGAATATGATATCATATATATGTACGAGGCGTTCACTCATGCTGCTGCGGTGAAGGTCGCGATGAACAATTATCTATCGATGATACAGTGCTTATAGAAAAAAAAAGTCAGTCTTCCGAGCGAGCAAAGAGCTCCGATATATATAAGTATATAACGTAATGCCAGCGTGTGGGTGTGGGTAGACGCTCCGTATTATGGTCCCCTCGCGGCCGCTTGTGCATTAAGTACTATACGTCGTCGTCGCCGTCGACGACGATGGGAGCAAAAGCTGCGCCCATATAATAATACGATCGACTATGCGACTATAGCGGGGGAGGCCATTACGAGAGTAGAGTAGCGGCTTATGTATGAAAAGCCCCAAGAGCTGCTACAGCAGTGGTGGTGGTGATGGTGGCGGCTCGATCGCTTTTTGGCGCCGATGTTTGCGGGATCACGTGTACATATATATATATACACAGACACGAGGGTCGCACTTTGACAGCAGCAGCAGCAGCAGCCCTGTTGGTGGCTGCGATCCAACACACAGCAGCAGCAGCGGCAGAAATCCAGTCGTGTGCCGCCGCTGCGTGTGCGAGTTTGAGTGCTGCGTCTCTCTCGCTCTGCGGGGGGGTTGGTCGCAAAAGCGACCTAGTCACGCGACGGCTCTGTATACCACTACGGCGGGCCGCGTGTCGCTCGACTCGACTTGTTCTTCTTCTTCTGCCGTCGGACGGACTGCGGATTCTCGCGTGTCGAGAGAGCTGAGCCGAGCCGGGCACGTGCCACGCGCGCCTGCACAACGCGTCGAGCTGCTAAGGCTATTCTCAGCTGCGCATTTGTCGACTCCGTATGCAAGTACATCGTATAGTGGCCCACGCGTGAATTCGACACGCCGGTATAAGCGTGGCGAATCGAGAAAAAAGCCCCAAAATGAAAAGCTCGCAGTCGTGCAGGTCGCCTCGTAATATATTCACGACGAGTGCGGTGAGTCGCGTGCGTGGGAGTATCGATACAAAAAAAAGAACTTGGATAATGGTCGTAAATTTATCTCGGTGACAGAGAGACGTATTTTTTGATGAATATAAATATACGTTAAAGGACACTTTTCGGATCAGCAAAGCCGATATACGATTACGTTGCATAAGGTGCTCTTTTTTTGGTAGCTCTCGCGACCGCACGATGATTGGCTGCATTTTTCGATTCGTACGTGTGTATATACGCGCGTTGCCTGCTATACTACGTAACAGGTCAAAGTCGAAGAACAACAAAAAAGCAAAAAAGAAAGAAATTGGAAACCTGAAAACGCGGAAAGAGCAACAACAACGACAACAAAAAACACCCTAATATATCGTAAAATTAACAGACACAGAGAGTGCAGAGCAGCGGATATACATGTAACGATATTTACCGTCGTCGGGCCGCTTCCTTTTGATGCTGTTGCCGTTGGGGTCGGCCTGCTGGTGATGGTGCGCCGGTATGCCGAGGATGCCGCTGATGCTGTAGGCGTTGGGCGCCGTGGCTCCGCCGTTGCCGTTGCCACTGGACTGGGTAGCCGGTGCGTGGGCTATTACCGAGACCGAACCGCCGCCCGTTTGCTGTTGCTGTTGCTGTTGAGACGAGCCTTGGGGTTGTTGCTGTTGATTCTGTTGCTGCTGTTGCTGCTGGTGATGCGCGTGTTTGGCCTTCTCCGCGGCCTTGTTCCGCACGATTCTGCACATGAGACGCATGCTTTAGGATTTGCGGATGAATTTTAGAATCCAATACTTATGATGGTGGTTATTATTTAATAATTATATTACTATGATATATATTTGTCAAAAATTTGTATGTAATACATCGTCAGCAATTAAATAAATACGAGTGTGAAAAATGTTAATGCATATATACACGAGTGAATGGCAACAACACTAATACTATATGCGACTCTAGTGAGAGTGATTTTGCACGCGGCGAACAATAGCTCTACTCTTTCTCTCTGCTGCGTCGAGCGCTGCGCACTACACACACGTGAAACTAAAACGTTTCGATATTTTCTCTTCTGCACAGAGTACGCCTTGCAATGCGAGCTTGTATAATTTTTTTATATTATATAGTAATCGAGACACGTACGTGAGCGCATATATATTTCTTCGCATCGGACTCTCTGTTCGATGATCGCTCGTATATATCGGCTGTACGTCGTAAAGAAAAGACCGATCACCAGAGAGGTTGTACATCGTCGTAAAAGATGATATTATTCGTACATAGTACCTAAACGAACGACGCGGGGCCCTTTTATTTTGCAGCAGAGAATTTGCGTTACATGCAAATATTACGTATATTCGCAATTCGAAGCTGCATCGATCGGTTATTGAGCCACTAGTATAGAGCGAGCTCCCTTCATCCCCGCTCGCTTTTACCGAATTATTATACATAAACCGAAGATCGCATCGATTATATACGCCGGGCCGTGTATACGTTTGGTGTGTGCGAATGCGCTCGAGTGCGTACACCGCTGTATATGTAACGCAACTATGCGCAGCATCAGCAGCAGAGCTTTGATCGATACCGTGTCGGAGCGAGAGAGAGAGACAGTGGAGAGTCTTTGCGCGTCGGCATCGTATAGATACTAAATCGCACATAACGACTTAATTTCGGGATGGTTATATATGTACATCGGAATATCGACAGCTTTTATGGGCTCTTGGTCTCTCTCTCTTTCTGTGCAGAGCGCGACTTTACGATGCATGCGCGCGCCCATAAAGCTTACGCGTGTACAAGCGATACTCTGTGCATAAGACACGCAGAGACGATTGTAAGTAAGTGCGAGCGCACTAACTCGACGATCGATTTTTATCATTCGTATTTTTGCGGACGAGACGCGCTGCTCACCGATCGACACATATACAGTGTATGTATATTATACACAGGTGAGATATATATGTAGTTGTCTGCATATAACGTACAGTAATAGTGCAGATAGATGATGCTGCATCATTGCAAGGCATTGTGTTGCTCTCTTTCTCTCTATTACTCGCCGCCGACTCCTTCCTTTTTTTCCTTCCTCTATAGCGATTCCCTCGCAAATCACCAATCCTTACAGGTATACAATAATAATAATAATAATGTCCGCGTCGGGGCAGTTGTAAACATTTGTGAAATTATTATATTGCGAGCGATTCTCGACCGCCGAGATGTTTTTTTCTCTCTATCTCTCTCTCAGTCCATTGCATGGAAGTATCGTAACGAGATTCATGCACAGTAGCGCTTCCACACAGCGGATAACTCGGAGGTTTTATATATGTATATTAAAACGCCGCGTACACCTGCCAAGTGTGAGTTTACGTGTACAAGTATAGCCATATACACGTATGTATATAGATGCGATGGGAGATTTCTCGGACGCGATTGGCTCATTGCTGCGGCGCGTTGGATTATAGCTTTTTGCAGCGGTGCAGTAGCTGAGCTAGCTAGCTCGGCATGGTTTCTCAACCTCTCGCACTCTCTCTATATATCTATATAGCATATAAAGTTTTTGTCGTCGTCGTCCATAGACGCTTTAACCGACTGCAGACACTGTGGCCTTTTGCACAATCTCTCTCTCACTATATTATAGCTGTATGTGTATGCTCGCTCGCAATAACGCAGCGCAACGGCCGCCGCCGATCCACAAGTGGCAATTGGCTCGATGTGCGCGCGGAGCTTTATATACATTATACACACACAATACACGTGTACAAGGTACAATTTTACATAATCGATAGACACGTATCGTAATAATGGATAAAAGCGCGAGTACATAGCTGCGACAGCCGCGATTTAGGAAGCCACACATGCACACGATATTATGCATGACTTAATGTAAAAGGTATAGGTATTCTCGCGGGCGGTGATTTGTAAGTCGTCACGCTCTGCGTATGTATATACTTGTGTACTACTACCCGATACATAATGTAATAATAATGGGATCGCGTGTGCGGGTGGATTATACCGTTGGTGGTGGTGGTGGTGTGCAGCACCACCGTCACACACATGTGGCTCGCGAGCATTAAATAGACACGCAACGAACTCGGTATAGTTGTGCTGCGGGGGAGGCGTAGAGAGTCAACGACGACGACGACGAGGTGATCGTTCACGTGCGACCCGCCACTCCGAAATCAGAGCAGCCGCAGCAGCAGCTTAAAACAACATCAGGTGGACAACGGAACGAAAAAAAAAGGTTGACTCTGTTCTGGCTAGTATAGTGGCATATAGAGGTGTACACGCTCGTTGACGTCGTCGTAGTCGTTCGCGATGTATATATGAGAGGGGTGTGGGTTCTCGCGTGTGCGGCTACGCTGCGGCTTCCGGGGGGTTGTGTGTGTGTGTGTGTGTGTGCATGTGCAGGCATTACTCGAGGGTAATATACCTGTACGTAAACACACACGCACATGCCGTTGCTCAGCTCGAGTAATGCCAGTAGTAGTAGTAGTGGGCCGCAGCGACTCCGGGTGTATATCCAGTATATATAGATACTAAATGGGCCGCCATTAGGCTCGTTTCCGTTTTCGGGACGTTATATCGGCTAGGTAGAGGTAGAGGTAAGGTAGAGGGTATATATAGCGTGTGGTGCTCTCTCTCTGCTCGGCCGAGCGATCAATCAGCCGACACCTGTTGCCCAGAGAGAGAGAGAAAGACGAGTATAAACACGCGCGGGGCTGTGTGTATATATGGGCGGCTATCCCCCGACTACTACGTACATATAGTATATACAGAGCCCCGGCACCTTACCGACAATTAGCGATGATCCTTATCGGCTCGAAGGGTGGCGGTGTGGCCGCCGCCGCACCGAGGCAATTCAGCCCAACGATCAAGATTTGTCGTGTCTCTTGCTCTGCTGCTGCTGCTGACCGAGAGCTATACGTGTGTTAAGCTTCTGGCGAGCGGCAACTTAGTCAATGTTCTCTCTTGTAGTGGTATGGTAGGGTATGTACAGGATGATGATGATGATGATCGGCACGAGGATCGAGACAGACCCGTTCGAGGTTTGGTATATATAGGCAAACGCCGATATATTATATATAGTGCGATGACTATGGGCATTTTTTGCAGCTAAACTGCGAATTCTCCCCACTAGTAGATCAAAAAGATGCTATACGAAAGATACTATATAGCTTCCCATATAGTATGTGTGTGTTTCGGCAGCTCTCGAAGTAAGCTGTTATATTTTTAACACGCTCTCATTGTTCGGAAGAAGCAGCAGCAGCAGCTCTCGCGGAGGTTCGCGTATACATACATACAGTATACAGTAGTGCAGCGGTGTTTCATAAATACATATAAAGTATGCTGCTGTTTTGCTTCCTCCTATATATCCGATGCACTATTTAAAAGTACACAAGATCGGCACGAGGCAAAGGTCCAACAGAGGCTGCTGACGCTGGTTAAAAATTCGCCTTAGCCACCACCACGCCTATATAGGACCTGGTATTCTTTCTTTTTCGTCGATGTTATACAATAAATATAAGCCAACGGTCTATATACCGAGCCGCAGCGTACTACAACCATACCCATATATAATATTTTTATTTTATATATATAGCAAAGTTACTCGCTCGGCAGTATAGTCTCTCTGTCTCCCTCACCTTTTTCCTCGGCTCCTATCCCATTCTTCTCTCTTCGCCGCTTACTTTTTCGCGTCCGCACGTACTGTACAGCTCGCTCCTGCACTTCCGGTCGTCGTCGTCGTCGTCGTCGGCCGGCCGCCTTCCTTCTAATCATTGACCGAGCGCGCGGTCGAGGCGCGCGCGCGCGCAAGTCCGAGAGTCCTGCTGCATGATATATACTACACTACTGCTAGTCGCCGCCGCCACTGCACTCGGGGCCACTGCACCGTATATTAACATTTATAAGAACCGTCGAAACGGCAGCTCCGGCTCACCTTTTCTTCCTCGACGACATTCTCTTGTGTTTTCATACATATATAATGTAGCACGTGTATATTCCGACACTTTTTCGTGCCGATCGTAAACGCCACTATACTACAGTTGCTGCGTTTTCTCTCTATATATATATTACAAGTTTTCGATTACGGCCTCGATTATGTACGGGGAGAGGCCCCAAAGAAGCACAGCTCGAGACAGACCGAGAGAGCGCACTGCAGCTTTTGCACCTCACCGCAGAAAGAAACCGTGGATAATGGCCTTTGTTTTCCAAAAATAAGATAACCACAATCGCCTCTCGCGTCCTCGATATCTTCTTGCGACAACTATATATATAATATATTGACAAACTCGCGTATACAATCGTTGTATATATACCAGTCCTTTTTTTTGTGTACGTGTGCATCTCGTAAGCGACGATCACGACAGGTGACATTTTCATCTCACCTTTTTTTATTTATTGCAACGAGCAGATACCGAGCGATATAGCCGATCAAAGCTCGCGTCAAATATTATATTAAATGTATAACGCATACAGGAGAGCGCATGCCAGCTAAGACGTACGCACATGTATTTATTATTGTTTCGCGGGGCGCGCGGGGCGAGAGGATGTAATGTGCGCTCGCGATGTACAGAGAGAGAGAGAGAGAGGCGCTCCTCGCAACTCGGCAGCAAGACTCCTATATATATATATACACGTATATAAGGTGCGGTTCGTGCGGTCAGAGCCGGAAATCATATCTAAAATTAACACGCCCACAAAGAATTACTCGTCGTCGTCGGCGGCGGCGGCGTACGCGCGTGTACTGTACT